TCCCATTCATTGCAAAAAAAGAATAAAAAATTCCAAAGCGTCTCAAAAAATAAACATAGCCACCTGACAGCGGGAAAAAAGTAATGGATGCAAGGAAACAAGAACACTTCCTTGTTTTTTGAAAGAAAATTTTCGAACTTAAAGACAAAAATATGCCCTAAAAGTTTGAATTTCACGAAGAATTTATGATTGGTACTTTTTTTCACAAAATTTTTTAAAAAATTTCGCTGGTAAATCTGATAATTAAATACTATTTTCGAAATTATCACATTTTTTGTGACCTTTACACTTTTGCTGTTCGATAGTGGATTATGCCTTCATTTCAACTTCAGAAACTCTCTTTCCTTATAACAACTTTTTAAAATCATAATTATTTCGCGAAAAATCAAAACTGAGCGTGAACTATTTTTAATACTTTTTCCTGAAAAAAAAATCATCCAGACCTACGATCATTACACTTAAAAATAAAACTCAATACCATTAAATTTCAAAAAACCTGTTTTTATCAAGAAGGTACTCTGGGCAAATAGGCCAAGAAAGACAATTGAATTTTAATTTAGCAATGGAACCAAACTAACGAACCGGAAACATAGCCGACGAACTTTGAGCAGATGAACGAAACTCCGAGAAACATTTTTTTAAAAGATTTTTTTTTCAAGTTGCCAACATACTAAAAAAAAACAAGGTCGGGCCGTGATTCGAACCCCGGACGTTAGGATACAAATGCGACTTCGTTATCGTTATCTCTAGGGTAAGTGCAAAGGGACCTTTAAGTTGCTAAGATTCAAAACAGAGGCGAAGCTGCGCTAAGCATACACTTGCAAAAACACGGCCAAAAAACAGCTCTATCAACTTAAATAAAAAAAAGTAGAAATAAGCTTCGAATTAGCAAAAACTCGGCTACCTGTGGTATTCGAATCTGCGACCTACTGCAATCAAGTAATTTTGAGTCTCACGCACTATCCCCTCAGCCATTCAAGCTTAACAACCGACAAACACAAGTCACGAATAAAGCAGCTACATATGCTAACAAAAAGCTAAGGCAATTCAGCATCAAATACAAATGGACTTTTGCAATTAACAAATTGGAATATAACACACTAACTTTCTAACAACTCGCCAAGCATAAAGCCACAATTTGTATAAATTAAGCACTTCAAAACATTGCGAGATATATTGAGTCAGAAAATTTCTGAAATCGAGTTTTTATTATTGTGATTTTGTTTGAAACAAATACCTTTTCTCTAGTTCATTTGATGAATTAAAAATGCATATGCTGTGTTAATATATTACAATCGAATGTCAAAGCACATGCTATCAAAAAGCGGTCAAGGTGCCCCACCAATATTACCGCACCAACATTTGCGACTTAGGTTGGAAAAAAAAATGTTCGTACTAATACACATGCTTCGCAAATGTAATAACCAAGCAAGTTACAAATTTGTAAGAAAAGTTGTTTAAAAGAAAAAATCCTAGTTCTCGATTACAATAGCCTTGTTTTCGCAAGCATAACGAGACAAAATGACGTCTGTACTAATGTGTAAAACGGAGAACTGTAATTTGGTCGGAAAAACGGAAAACTTAAAATTAATTTTTATCGATCCTGTGACTATATTTTTTATTTACTTGCGTCTCTCTTTTGATTTTGAGCTTGAGAAATACAGCTAGGTTTGTCTCAGCATTCTGAAAAAAAAGCGTTTCCTGATTCAGGACAAATTCATAACTTAGAAAACACCTGAGCGAAGCTGCGCTTCGCAAACACTAGCGAAAACGCGACTAAAAAGCAGCTCTATAAAGCGAAATAAGAAAAATTAGAGATCAGCCTCGGATTAGAAAAAAATCTGCTGCGTGCCGGATTCCCTCCTGGGAGAGAGAGAATATGAGTCTCATTTGCTAACCACTCAGCCAGGGACGCTTAACGATTCACAAACACTAGCCACAAACAAAGCAGAGAGCAGATGTTATAAAACTTCATGATTATGAAGCTACATATTGTGGTTATTTATTTATTTAAACTATTTACACCATTGTGGTGAAGGGATTTCTCCCCGTCAAAACAAAGTCAGAAAGTCAACTGACGGCAAATTGCGCAGAGACAGAGTATTCTCCAAGAACACGAGTTGAGTTCGTTGTAGTTGTTCATGAAGAAGTTCCAATAGTATTTCAGCAGTCGTTTCTTGAGTCCATTGAAGTCGAGAACATTCACCGATGTGTGCAGAATATTTGCAAGTCGACATGTACGGTACCGAAAATTGTGTCTTGATTTTTCGTAGTTCACGTGTTTAACATCAAACAACTTATGGCGACCAGTCAAAAATGTAACGTAATCATCCCACTTGAAGTCGTATTTCCCATTGATAATCTTGAACAGTAACAATACATCATTAACTTCCATATACAAAGAAATAGGCAACATGCTGACGCTGATAAGGCGCTGATAGTAAGACAAGTCGTTGTCGAAGAGAATCCACTTGGTAGCTTTGCGTTGTATGGATTCGAGGGCCTTCGAATTTCCGATGTTGGCGTACCAAACAGATGAGCCATACAAGAGTATTGGTAGCACCATGGATTTGTATAGATTCAACTTGTGAACTCGAGGTAAAATACTGGAGCAATTACGCTTTATAAGAAACAAGACTACCAACGCTTTTTTGCAAGCTTTTCAATATGATGGGACCATGACAAGCTGGATGAGAAAAGAATACCACTATCTTTCTCGCTGTCGACGACTGTGAGCTCTTTTTCGCTGTGAGAAAGGTAAAAGGTGGCATTTATCTGGATGTAACATCATACAGTTGTCGTTGCACCACTGCAGGATTCTGCGGACATCGGCTTGTAGATGGCACAAACTGTTTGCGGAGTGCCAAGAAAGTAGTTTTGAATCATCGGCAAAACTGTACACTGCATTTACCAACCCATCGGGGATATCGATTACATAGAGTAAGAAAAGTAAGGGCCCTAAGATGGACCCTTGAGGTACACCGCTAAGTACAAGCAGAAGCGAAGAGTAGTATTTGTCCACTTTAAAGTGTCTACGGTCAGCAAGATAGCTCTTAATAAGCGCTAGGAGTCTTCCAGAAATTCCCAATTTGCGCAGCTTATTAAGCAGGACAGAGTGACTAATTTTGTCAAATGCTTTAGCGAAATCTATATATACGGCTTCCACCGTATTCTGGTTGTCTGTCTCGAGATAGATCTCGTCTAGGTAACAGATTAATTGAATAATCGTAGAGTTGTGCTTTAGAAAACCATATTGTGAATTTGGTAAAACTGGTCTAATGAAAGGATACAATTCATCAAATATACAGCGCTCAAGGATTTTTAATGCAATGTCTAATAATGTGATAGGACGATAATTGTTTGCCATTCGCTTGTCAGCTTTTTTGTGCAAGGGCTTGACTTTCCCAATCTTCCACAACGAAGGAAAGCAACCTGTTCTCTTAATAGAGCTGAAAATGTGACTAAGAGATTTGCAAAGGGAAGGAGTCTTCTTGAATGAAGCCGGTGGCAAATTATCGTGACCGCGGGACTTGCTTACGTCTAGCCTGGTGGTTATTTTCATTATTTTATGTTCGGAAACGTCGAAGTCAATAAGAAGTTCAGGACCGCATATATTACGAACCCTCGCAACATCTTTGGAAAAAACAGACTGGAAAAACTAGTTGAATAGATTACAAATACTAGTAGGGTTGTTTGCTTCAATGTTATTCCAGTATAAAACAGGTGGTAAACAGTTGTTGGTTTTTTTGACGCTCTTAAAGTATTTAAAAAGCTTGGTGGTCGAACGAGATGAAGCCAGTTCCTGTTCATACAAATATTGATCATTCTTTAAATCGTTGTCCAATGACGACTGCAGCACACGAATGCGACATTGTAATTTGTCGGAGTGGTTTTTGTTGAGACGCTTCTCAAAAGTATTCAAGACTTTCAACTTGTATGAAGTTGCCTGAGATACCCAGGGTTGCAGTGAACTGCGATGTTGAGTTCTTAGGGGCACGGACTTGGAAATACTCTCGTCCAACCATTGATACTACTGGGTCAGAAGAACATTTGGATTGGTCCAACAAATTCCTTGAAAAGGTTTGTCAGCAATAAGGGCGGCAAGCAAATCAAAGTCACCGCGACAATGGCTAAACTGCTGTGGCCGTTCATCAACGGCAATGTCCTGACTAGGGGCATACGAGACAGCAAGTTTCACAGCAAAGTGGTCGGGGGCAGATTTCTCGTTAACGGAATATGCGTTGGTAAAGTCAGTTGCAGGCTCAACATTGAGAATGAAATCGCTGTTTACAAGGACGACATCCAGAGTATGCAACGTGGTTGTGGGGAAGTCAACCAGCTGCTGGAAATTGTTCTCAAAGAGAAGATTCAAAACCGACTTCTCATAGTTATCAGTTGAGTCATATGTACTCCAATTAACAGTAACATCTTAGCTGTTTCAGCAACTGGACATCGTTATTACCGTTTACCGGTTGGTTGTTTGACGGGTGCGTTGAATTTTCCACTGGCTTGAGCAGATCAATTTTTTCGCAAATGGTACCAAGCTTCTCCTTTAAAACTGTATCCATACTTTGCGCAGAAGGTTGCTGTTGAGTTGACGAACTTTCCGTTAGTTCTTTAATGGATTTTATCTCATCTTTCATTTGGTGTATTGAAGATTCAACACGTGAAAATTCCATTAAACCAGCGATCATTTTGTCATTTCTGCGGAGTTCGCTTATCGCCTCTCTTAGGAGACACGAAAGACCGTCCTTCTTTAATGAATGTGTGGCTTTGATAAAACCCTCTTCATCCACGTAGAAGCTTAGCGATCGTGGGATAGTAGTCGCGGCTGAAGTGACGACGGTCGGTGTTTGTTTGATCCATACCGTTTGCGTACCAAAACTGCAAGTGTGTAGATCTTCACCTGCGGAAACAAAAATCTCACAGGGCCGCAAATGCTGGATATGATAATAAGTCAAAGGTTGCCGTCGGAGGACTTCCACATCATAACAGTATCTATTTAATAAGTTTATCAAAACAATTAGGCTATAGACAATTATAGCAAACGTGCCACTAAATGAAAACTTTTTATTTCGAGTTAGGTTGGAAAAAAGAAGGTTCGTAATATTGCACTCAGCTGGCTAGTGTAAATAGAAAGAGAATTTATTTTATTAAAATTCAATAAAAGTAAATTCCTGCTCAATTTTAGGCCATTCTTTTAGCAGGTTGTAATTAACTAATGAATATCGCACAGATGTGAATGTATAAAAAATGCTTTATGATTCGAAACTTTTAGCTTTGGAAACGATGAGAACAATTCAACTCATCTCCACCGTTAGCTTAATTAATCTTTCAAACCAAAATACAGAAAAAATACTTCAATTCATAAATAGGAAAATAAACAAATATCGACGTGTCTTAAACTCAGATTATATCAAATTACAATAAAATCAACCAATGTCTGCTAATGTCTTTTCAACTTATTTGAATATTTGCAAAAAATAAATAGCGAAAAAATGTTATAAGCAGGCTGATTTTCTTCTCAATGAATTTATTTATTTTAGACATACTGTAATGCCAAAATCTGCTCAGCATCATTTATGACATATATCGGATCTTTTTAACAACCCCCCCCCCCTTCCAGCTATCGATCGCAAAAGGAGTAACTTCGTTACCAGATACACAAATATTTTAAATATGAAACTAGTTCATTATAGGGGAGAAAACTCTTGATTAAGGTGCAATTAGGAGGAAGGGGAAATAGTTAGTCAAAAAGATCCCAAACATCTAGAGTCATCAGAGTAAAAATCGGAGTAGAGACTACCTTCTGAACATGAGGTACAAAGTGACAGTAGCAAGACATGCTAATGAGTACATGTAGTAGTTTTCTCTGATCACTCTCGATTTGTTGTCTTGCTCTATTGCTGCTACTTTTCTAGACAGTGCCAGTACCTGAAACAAAAAGATAGTTAGTGAAGTATAAGATCTCATTAATTAATCTGCTCTAGGGTTCCCAATGAAGAAAAACCACCCCTGAGAAGAAATAAGGCAATGGTTTAAAATATCAGCATTTGCAATTAGTAACGACCTCCAGTAGTCAAAGTTGCCGACATGTCAAAGATACATTTAATCCTAGATTTACTCCTTTTAGATACATTTAGATTTAGATATAGATACAGTTAGGTACTAGATATACTCGTTTAGAGATACATTTACTCCTAGATTTAGAATTTCGTGTTCATGAGAACGCAATTATTTCGAACGATAATCAAAAATCAAAGATGACAGGAAAAATAGATATTATATAATGCTGCTAGCCTATTCTTTACGAATTGACGAGTAAGGCAACTTGTTATAATTGTGACTATTGATCATCATCAATTTCTGTCGCCATATATGATATGATTTTGACACAAACGCGGTATAATTATACTCCCAATTATTTGATATGCCCGATTAACTTATGATTTTGACTCCTGGAGACTAAGTTGGGAACCAAAGCTCTGAAAATAAACTTCTCGTCAACTGAATCTTGACATATTGATCGAACAACCTCGACATCAACAGAGACCATTTATCTACCTTCAACGCTTCATCTGGCCAAAAAGTGATGACCAAATTAATAAAAGTTTTGGTACTCTGTTTATACGAGAAAATGCGTAGAAACATTGTTTCCTAGCGTCAAAATGAACAGTGTTAGATTCTAAAAACCTATACGAGAATCCGCGCATGTTTTTAAGTTGGTTAAATAATTTTATTGGTAATTAAATAAATTGATTGTTCGCTAAATTATCTTTTGATTAACTTTTGATTCACAAATGGAGGGCGCAAAATTTCAACCAAAAAATAGTCTATTGCAAAAGTTCAGAATGGCATGTTTTACACCACTTGCTACACAACATGCTGACTAGACTAGACTAATAGTCTATATTAATCCAAACTAGTGTTAGTATATAATTTTAACCTAGTCAGTACTTTGAATAGCAAGTGGTGTAAAACACGCCAGTCTGAAGTGTTGAAATAGCGTATTTTGTAGTTTACACCATATTTAAACAAAGACGAAAAATTATCAGGAAAACAAGAATTTAAAAAAACTATCTTCTATCACATGAAAATCTACTTAAAGATTTGCAGAGAAGATGTCTAGTAGCTTGTTTAATATGAGCGCGCATGAATTGTAGGCATTATCAAAGAACTTGAAAAAAGACGGTAATAATTGAATTGCATAATTTGTCCTAAATACTATTTAGAAGATCATCGCTAATCGAAAATAATTCTTTTAGAGAATGTGTTCTTTTAGGATCTAATGAAGCATATATATTGGAAGAAAAAAACTGAAAAAAAAAATTTTAATACACAGAAGCGAAGTTGCTTTTCGTATACACAAGCAAACATATGACCGATAACGCTAATGGGAACAGCTGAATAGTAAAAATTTGAGTTCATATAATTCATAAGTGACGCAAGCCAATTATGACGCATCAGCAGTACCAGTCAATATGAAAAAATATATATATTTAGCAACAAACATGCCTCAATTTATCGAGCGGACGCATTTTAACTAGTATACGAAAAAGTACATTAAAAACCTCCGACACTGCCCAGGTTCGATCCCTCTTGTTTTGTAGCGGGTCTCCTTCCCTACCTCTACGCTACAGCTCCATGGTACCTTGAAGCTAAGTGCTATTTGTAATCTTATAGTCTCTGTTAATATCCTTACCATCTGTGATAATATCCTTAGAATTGGCTGTACTTAATAGCTGGTTATTGATATCATGCACATAATAGAACAGTTTTAAAATGAACCCTAATATTTAGATTGGAAAAAAGAGAGTTCATACTATCACACGAGCTATGCTAGGTTAAAAATCCGTGCGTCAAAAAACAACAGACAGTTGGAAAGTGTAAATATACAAGGAAAGCAAAAGAAGGGTGGATTTTTAAAAACTTTTTTTTATCATTCAAATTTCGGAAAGAAAATTATTACATTAAAGCTTTTTCAATTTCGAGAATATTACAGGATGGACTCATCTTACTCAAAAATGAATTAATTACTGAAAACAGTGCCATAATATTCTGAGCCAACAATAAACATGACCTATATAAGCCTCTAAATTGCGTTAATTAAGACTAAAACCACAGAATTTAAAAGGGGTTATATTTGGAGATGAATTAGCCTTGGAAACATCGCCAACTAACTTGAAGATATAAAATTTAGAAAAAAGAGAAAAACAAAAACTTTCGTTAAATCCGACCGAGACTATGACAAAAACTCAAGGAACTTTACAACATCTATGCACTGTAAAACACTATAATTAACTTGACGAATAGAGAAATCAAAAAGACTTTCAGAAATTTTCCAAAGAAGTAAGAAATTCAGCAAAAAAAAATCTTTGACCTCAATTACCATCATTAAGGATGCTAGAAATGGCATAAAAAACTACAGAAAAATAGTTACCTTCATAAAAGTCCAGACAGCGGGATCTGAGCCGATAAATATAAGCAGGCAGACGATAGTTCGAGAAAGCAGAAAAAGTCCAGTTTGCTACTGAAAAAAGTTCATGGTCTCAGTTGCAATACTCGCAAAGGGGAAAATCTAGAAGAAGAAGAAGAAGAATTAATTTCACTTAACAATCAGATACACTATTACATTAAACAAAAAGTATATTTTTTATCACATAATAAATGAATCAACAGTTTACCCAAGATTGTTAAGTGAGGATACGCAAAGGGTTTTCTTCAAACCCACTAGGAGCGTACCCCATAGATTACACAAAAGAAAAGCACATCAATGAGTTATGAATAACTGATAAATATAATATTTATGAAAACAATTAGCAAAAAGAAAAAATTATAAGTTTTTTAGAAGTTAATTAACGCCTCATCCACGTGAAAAACAAGCCCTTAAATTCTCTAGAAATGTGGGCAGAGTAACGCCCTCTTTTTGACCATTTTTCACAATTTCTTGAAATATGACTATGTCCTTTAGATGCAAAGCAAAACAACCCGAAACTGTATACCCATACTCAGACTTGAATAGTATTAAACTATGTTGCCCGGAGACAACGCCTGGTCTTCTGAAAGAATACAGTTCGAGCCGCCTCACCCCGCACCTGAACACAGTCATATTTATAATCATAAAGCAAAAATATAACTAACAAGTTCGTAATTTTCATGTATAAACGTATCTGTTAGCATATGTGCCATATTATTTAGTTCCCCTTTTTTTAAGTTTAAAACATTTTCCGGGAGCAAGTTATTATCACTAAACATCTTCAACAGAATTCTTCAACATCTTCAGAATCTAGAAATCCAGATCAATCTTTAAAAAATCACATTCGAGATATGTAACATTCGCCCGGAAGATACATATCGACGGAAAGTAAAGCTAGGTTCTAAGACGACTGGCCAACGTCTAAACAGAGCTCTACGTGTTTTTCACCGTCTCTACCAAGCCAGTATTTTCGGTGGTCTTTCTAACATCGGGTCGACAAAAAACGTTACTGCTTTCGGCTTCGGTCAAAACACTCAAACTAACTAGATTACATGCAGAAATAGTGAGCTCATGGCTGGGTCTCAGTATCCCCAGACCACGAGATCACTCCTAAAATCAGGGCTACTACTATTTACTGAATTATTATTGTTTTTGTTCAGTAGATAAAAATCATCATCTCCATCGAATCAACCCATTCCCCCAACTCCTAGCTTCTCATCTTAGCAGAATGAATTCAGATGTTAATTAAATTCAATTCAGGACATGATAGGGAAGCTAAAAGTTTATATAAGATGATAAAAGTTCCAGTCCCGAGACCCCTCCAGATTCTTGAATCCGGGAAAATAAGACTCTTATTCTCCTCCCGGAAGGCTGTCTTCCACCCTTCATTGTTGTTCGCAACGGCCTTGAAACTATTGTAGCGACATAATAGTTGCAACTCGGAACGGTCTCTGCTACTTCTGCAATTTGTTGTTGTTTTCCAATCACAATTCTCGTTGTTATCGCTATCGCAACTAATGTTGTTGTATTTTTATTCCGGT